CTAAATTTTGATCCCTGAAATCTTTGGTAATACCAATGTTCACTTTGTCTGATTTTGTTGCAGTATGCCCCACATAATGAACTACCAGTACTAGAAATTTTAAAGAAATGCAGATCTGATTTATATGGGCAATCTACAAATTGTCCTAGGTGTAATTTAGCTCCTGAAGATTATGATCATTTATGATATTATAAGAATTCAAAAGATGCAGTTAAGATAATCAGTAAAAAAACATCTGAATTCATTCAGTCACTATCGGATAATAATCATAACCAAAATAATAAAAATAGTAGTAACAATGATTACATAGATATACAAACAGTAATTTGTGAAATAGATCCTTATTTAAACAATCCCACATCTTGTATACTCTTTATGAAAAATTTCACAAGAGGCTTAATTTCAAAAAACATAATACATAGTTTTACATGTATCAAACAATCAAAATCCAAAGGGAGTAAAACAGCTCCAGAATTTTTAAACATAGTCTAGGAACTTTTCTTTGAAAAAATTTGGAAGCCTAGGTGTGATGAGTTCATTGAATGGGAACACTCAATTGGGATATCAGATAAAAATAAAAAAAATTACAAATCAAAACATTCTCAAGCTACTTCATCCAATTATCAGAATGCTATACATTCTGATAAATGGGAAGAGTGGTGTCAGAATTTCATACTTTTTGGTGCTAAGTGGGAAAATTTTTGCCTTTAGCATGTTATCTTTTTTTTTTATAATTATTTAGATGAATTTATTTAAATATGTCTTTTTAATTATTTTAAGTAAAGGTGGCAGGCTGGATTACATGTAAAAAATTTGTAAATATTTAATGTTGCATTAAATTTTATATAAATAAACGTGGTTTCAAGGCCTCACTTTAGCAAAAAGATTTTTGTTGTGACTGACTTGGTTGATATCAACATATCAATCTTCAAAAATAAAAAATAAAAATACAAAGGGTGAGATAATCACCGAATAACTAGTATTCTGGAAAAGTGATGATTGGTCTTGATCCTGCATCAGGAAAATGGGTACAAATATTATGTATATATAATACACAATTGCAGGGATTAAGCATATAATATGTGTACAAATTGTGTATTTTTTTATGTATGCAAATTGTACATATATTATATGCTTAATCCCTGCAATTGCATATTATATACGCATAATATTTGTACCCATTTTCCTGATGTGGGAGGAAAGACCTATTTGTTGCTGTTGATGATAAATAAAGAGCCGCACATTGTGGGTCAAAGGAGTATAAGGATGTGGCTGGATTTATGCAAAATAGAAAGAAAATAAAAAAGATGGCATAACTAAGTAAGCCCTTAACATCTTTACTATAGTTGGCTTGGTCTAAAGACCTCCTAAATTTTGGCAAATTTTAAAAGTATAGAAGTCACTTTCTGTCCTACTTTTTAAAAAAATAGCTTTATTAATTGATAGAATATGTCTTTAGTTTTAGTTTAATAGAGATTTTCTCAAAAAAATTATTTGTTGTAGAGTTCTATTCTTTTTTAAAACATGTACTTTACTATACTCGCGAGGAATTTGTCCACTATGATCATTTCTAAATTTAGACTAGCCCTTGACTATCGTATCTAAATTTGGCAGTAAGAAAACTAAAATCATGTAAAGTCCTATTTTTTGAAAAATTTTATTACATTTTTGAACGAATTACAAAATTGTTATTTTGAAATTTGGCCGCATGGCGCAGCAATAGGAGGTCTTTAGACCGAGCCAACCATAGTAATATATTAAATTTTGGGATAATTAAATTTCGAATTGAAAATATTTTGTAATGGTATACAGTATAACCTAAAGAATTATTTCATAACCTAATACTCATTATCATGTCAGCAATTACAACCACACTTATTGATGAATATGATATCACTCCAAAGATGAGTTCTGAACTTAGTCAATATACACCGAATTTCTTAAAAACCTTACAGATGATAGAAAGAGAAACAAAGCACAAAGACGGCTTCGAGAAGGGTATAATTTCAATGAAGAACGAATATTTACATTAATCCCCATTCAAAATGCTTACAATTCAAAATGCCATTTCACCTGAAATAATAAATATAAGAGAAACAATCAAAGAAATAGCTCAACGAATTTTACGTGATAATCTTAGTGAAAAGAAGTAAAAGCTATAGCAAAAACTTTAGCTAATTCTGCAAAAAATGTCACTGCTGTATCATCACTACTTTTGCGTCTTAGAAGGGAATTGAGTAATCTTAATGCTCCGAAAAAAATAGTTGAAGCTACAAAATTACCTGATGTAACAAAAAAAATTAATGAAAAACAGAGATACCACAAAAATGTATTGAGGCTTTTGAAAGGATTGATTATCCAGATGAATTCACATTAGAATCGGTTAGAGAAAGATTGGATGCATATGATATAAAAACTTCACCCAATTATTTAGCCCTTGCTGATGTTATGATAATGCTCTGTTTACGTCCAGCAGAAATTACGACTTTATGTATTACAGATGAAGGGTTTTTAGGATATGTGAAGGGGTCAACAAGATATTCCAAGAAAATTCATATATCTATGGGAAAAAATAAAGAACAAGCTAAGGAATTACTTACCTGGATACAAGATACTATTGCTTCTGGAAAAATAGGTAATCCAAGAAAACCTGATGTAAAATGTTTTAATATGTACTTAAAACCTTATGGCCTTTTACCTAAACATTTACATAAATTGAGAGCAGTATATGGTGCTGTAATACATGAAGCTAAAAATCCAGCTCATTTTATGACAATTTCTGGACAGTGTCTACGTCATGCTCCTACGAACAATGTTTCACCTGTACAAAATTAGATTGTAGTCAACTATCGCAAAAGAGGACAACCCCGGTGTAGATTTCCTGAGGCCCACTAGAAGATGGACAAAAAAATAAGAGAAATAATATCTTCTTATATATATTTCGTTTCAACTATTCTAATAGGCATTTAAAAAGTTTTTATCAATGAAATATCACGTTGATTCGTTTGTATAGTGCGCGCCATGATTTCTGCAAAATTTTGGTTTTTTTTTTTATAAAATCATAACGGTCAGTTATTTAAATAATTGGACCTTGGAAATTGCTAATAAAAAGTCGGAGTGTAGGGTCAGTAAACTCGTGCAACTTGGTGCCTAGTTAATGATAATGTAGGCTAGCTTTAACTTAACTACATGCTGATTGGAGTGGGATTACATGTATGAATTTTAAATGTTTAAGTAAAATATTCGGGTCAGTACGAAATACTGCCCGGAACATGCAAGACCATATAAAATTTATAATGAAAATTAATTAAGCTTTACTTATTTTTGTTATACTTATATTGAAATTCTCCAGATGAATCAGAACTAATATACTCAGATTCGGATGAACTAGAAATACATATATAATAATGTTTTTTAGCTTTTTTGTTTTAATATCAGATTTTCTTTTGCTGCGAATATATAACAATACAAAGTTCTTCCTGAATTGCCATTATATCCTCTTCTAAATATAAAAGCAAATTATATAATTTCGAAAGTGATAAACCAGTAGAAATTTTATTGCTTTGATTTACAACAGTGTTATACCACTCCACTGCTAGAATGGGATTGTTATCAATGTCAAGATTTTCCACCAATGTAATAGCAACTTATATGAATCAGCAAGCGTTTTTCCTTCGGGTTTGTGTTCTGCATTGCTACGTGATTTGCATTGCTGTTAATACCATGAATTGCTATTATATAAAAGTAGTCATATAATTGAGCAAGTGTTTCGTTTTGATTTTCATATTTGTTATAATAAAATAAATATATTGTTAATATAAATCTTTATAACTACTAATTATTAAAGCATATATTTTTTCCCCTATAATAAATATCTAATATATATTATTTTAATAAAACACAAGAAATTAAAACAGCGATGGTAGATAGTGGTGATGCAAAGCATCGAGTCTTTGACTCTTCAGATATTAATTTTATTCCAGTATCAATGATATCAAGCCCAAACTATGAACAGAAATATAAAAAGCTCTCTAAACAATCAATGATATGGTGAAAAAACAAAAAACTACTAATAATTATTATTTAGAATCTTTAGAGGGTGTTATAGATGAAATAGATGCAAGAGAAATTCATAGTAAGTGTTCTAAAAAGAAAAAAAAAGTAAAAAAATTTTAAATGCGAAAATTTACACTAAATGAATTTGATTCAGAAATCTCGTATTACTCGTTAAAATGAATTGTTATTGATAACATGCTTGCTTCGATAATACCTACACGTTTTTTTCATGTGACCTAATTTTTCAGGTATACCCTATTGTATTTTTTTTATTTTTAAATTCACATGCCAGTACATTCGCTTGATAAAATAATAAAAGTATAATAAATAGCTAATTTTCATATAATGGTAGAATATAGTCACAATTTTAATTGGAATAAGGGCAGTGCCAAATGCACGAATCTTTGATTCACCCATGTCCCTAAAACAAATTTACACTATTCCTTATACATTTATATGCCTAATAATGTTCTTAGAAAATACATGTCCACAGAAATTTCATATGGACGATGTGCTAAATGTCATTATTGGTATAAAGGGTTGGCTCTCACTCATTTAAAACATCAACTATATTGTTTTAAGCATCCATGTATTAGAAAACATTTCGTTTGTGGTATATATCAAAAACAAGTAAATTCTGCAAAATAATACAGCATGCAGTAATCAAATATCTTTACCAGCCAGGTAGTAAGTTTATGAAACATGCTCAAGATCGGTATTATCAAAATGCAAATAAATCCCAGAATGTATTTTAAGAAATTGGTAAAAATAAATTAATTGTTTAATTGTATAGTAAAATGAAATGATTAAATTATGCTAAAGTTAATATGAAAATATAACATTATGATTTAGATAGAAATTTTTTACTAAAGAAATAAGAAAGGGGAATATTACTAGGATAGCTGTTCAATATCCCATGTATCTACACTACCAGTAAATTTCCATTCGTAATCCCGGTCATTTGTGAATGGCCCACGAGTCTTATCTTTTTTACCTGAAAGCTCAACAGCGAATGAAAGGTTATAAATTGTTATATCATCAAACATTTGAATATTAAAACCTCTGTGAGCAGTTGAACTCCCGTCACCCATGTTTGTTCCATTTACCATGACTGTAGCCTTGCCAAATGTACCTGGCCACATTTTGTTATGGACCCAAACTGTATGACCTGTGTAGTAAACATAGAGTTGTTAGAACATACAATTAATTTTTTTCCAAATTATGATCTTTTAAAAAGTATTTACTTTCAATGAGTGGCACAAGTGTTAGGCCAATCGTTAGATTAAAGATGATGGCAATGATTAGGTTGAATTTCATGATGAGTAATATTTTATTATAAAAATTTTTACTTTTTTTCTTGTTCTCGAGGTATATATATATTGGGTTCTGATTAATAATCCGGGTATGAACACCAGTACATTGTAAAATTCTTTTATTGAAAAAAATTCCTAACCTTTTTGTTTGTATGGGTGATCTTTTGCGTATTAAATGAGCCAAAGTTCATAATTATATGACTTTTTTAAAATAAACTCTATTAGCCTTGTTCACTCGCAAGCTCGTGCTCAGATTTATGTAGTCAACTATTTTTTGTTATATATATTTGACTGAAACGAATTGGCAGGGGCAATAGATCCATATATTAATATGGATAAAATATCAAAATTATCGTCATACACTGAAACAGAAATGTGAGTTGGTTTTTAGAAAAAAAAAAACAGTGGTATAATTTCTTATTGATTTTTTTTATTTAATAAAATATTTGATAAGCTTTCAAATGAATCTAATTTTGTTTATCTACCTTGCATGTGATTTTTCGTGCAAACCATTTTTTTTGAAACACACTGTATTTCTTTTGCAACTAACTTTTCTTTATATTCATATTTTTTCGATTAAATTTATAGAGGCATAGCCGCAATAATAAATGAACAAAAAATTTGAATCAAAAAACTATATTGCTAAGTCACGAAATAATCGATCATCTATTGGAAAACCAATACCACGCACGGATCGCCGATATAAATCCAATAACACATTGTATAATATTAATATAGTAGCTGTAATATCTTCGCACTTACCAGAAATTATTTTTTTGTTCGTAGAGAGCAGGAAATCACATGTAGTAGTGATATTATACGTGACTTGGATCAACAAATCAGAATACATATATTACATGTTAGAATGACAAAAATAGACAAGTAAATCTCAGAATATCGGAGCTAGTGTCTTTGACACATAAATAAATCTTGACATATGACGACAGAGTCGTAGATTAAAAATAGGGGTAATTCTTAATGGCTAAAATGTTTATGTGTAATTGACTTGATTTTTTATATACTTATCTTAGGGATGTGGCGGTTCCACTCCGCTCCGTTCGGCTCTTGTGGAGCCGCTCCAATAGGTGGAGCGGTTCTTTAGAGCTGCTCTCCATTACACAAAAATCAAAATGTTTCACAAAAAATCTTGACATATGACGACAGAGTCGTAGATTAAAAATAGGGGTAATTCTTAATGGCTAAAATGTTTGTGTAATTGACTTGATTTTTTTATATACTTATCTTAGGGGTGGGGCGGTTCCACTCCGCTCCGTTCGGCCCTTGTGGAGCCGCTCCAATAGGTTAAAGCAGTCTCCAGGACCTGGGATTTTATTTTTACAGACTTTTTTCATTCAGTCTATAAAACAATGAACATGTAAATTTTTATTAGGTCTCCATGTAGCTGTTTTTATAAATTGCTCAAATTTCCATTGTAATGTATTCATCATAGCCTCTCTAACTTTTTCAACGATTTTGTGAAGTGAATCTTTATTTTCTATATCCAAAATTTCCCACATAATTTTTTCACCTATAATTTTGAAAACTTCGGATTGACCTTGTGTTTTACAGTATCAATTCCTCTGTAACTTATTAATTATGTTTAGGAATATTCAGATAGATGAGATTACCTGTATTTTCTTATCATTATAAATAATATATCATTTTAAAAGAATAAAATATAAAGTATTTGTTTGTAGAAAAGTGTTTAATTCGTTTTTGAAGTAATTCTTCACAAATTCTTTACAGGTTCCGTCTTTAATGATGAATTGATTAGAGATGTTATTAATTTGAAAAAAAAAATTTTTTTTTTTGATGTTAATATTTATGATAATATTACACTAGAGTGCTGGTATGCATTAAACTGGGATTATAGTTAAACAAGAATTATCAAAGGTGTTGAAAGCAAATTCCGAAATAGCAATACAATACCCAGCATTAAATGATTTAGTTAACTATTATCAAGAAACTATTCAACATGTGATAAATTTTAAATTCCCTTTCAATTTATCTATATTTTTTTGAATTAAACATCACACAACTAATTATTGCAGGGCATTATTTGTATGTAGTTGGATCAGTGATTATAAGTTGGAGTCAAATGTTGGCATTTAGAAATCAACTTCATAATAAAATAAAATCAAAAATCTACTTAATATTATGGATATTGTCAAATTTCTTGTATTCGTTGTTGTTGACAGCAGTCTCAATCAAATTCCTAAAAGGTACAATTGTAGGAAGGATTAATTTATCTGGTGCTTATGAATGTAATATTATCAATCTATTTATTTAGAACAGATAATTTATTCAACAGAGGCAAAAATTAGTGTTACAAATCTTATCTAATTGGACTTTTAATAGGTTTATTAATATTGATTATTTGGATTTGTGTAAATAAAAGTTTTGTGGATAGAAAAGGTTCAGGATTATTTGTTAAATCAAAAATACTACTACTACAATAAATACTACTATTGATGATTAATAATATATTTTTTTTAGTAAAAGTGAAATTATAACACAAATTACTATAATAATTAATGAATCAAACAAAATCATTGATTTCTTCACATTGTTATGATGAGTGCTGGATGAAGTAGTTGTGGAGGAAATATTTGTAGGAGGAATACTTTTAGGAATGTTTGTATCATTATTATAATTTGTGTTATTATTGTTTGTATTATTATTTTTATTATTTGTATTTGATTCATTTTCAAATTCTGTAATTATCAAAAGAAGAAATTTTTTTTAAAAATAAATAAATTGTTATTAGATAATGATAATAATAATAAAAATATACCTGGTTTTGATTTTTTCTGCTCTCCTTCATAAATAAATGAAAACTTTGGCATATCCATATGATTGTCATTTCCATTTTTCTTACTATTATTACTATTATCATCTGGTAATAGCTCAATATTGGTTTTATCACAACTAGAACATTTCCAATTACGGGATCTAAAATCAAAAGTTCATAAATATATTTTAATAATATTTATGCCATTTCTCCATTTCATTTAGATGATAAAATTTATTATTTACCTTTTTGCTAATATTTTTCTCTCTGACTCTGTATAATCAATTCCACCAATTGCTCCATTTGCTAGATTTGACAAAAATATTAATAATCATTCCTTTTATCATTTGATTAAAATAAAAATTAATATCATACATTTTGTTGTCAAAAATCCAATTAAAGCCAAAAGAACTGTACGAACTATATTTATATATATGTAGTAATAAAATTAATGACAAATTATTAATCACAGTAATAATATTATTATTATTGTTATTATCATTATTATACTTACTTCCCCAAGCTGGTAACCAATATTCAGGATGATATCCAGTTATACTAAGGCATATTTTCTTATTAAGTTCAAATCTACCATTTTGCTAAAATTAAAGGATCAGAAAAATCCAATATCAAATATATGAATCTTAATATATACATAGAAAGCACATAAAATAAATACAGTCATAAGCATCAGATTTGGTGGCTTGAATGGATATTCAGATGGCAAAAGTATTCGTCCATGATATCTATTATTAATTAAATATTTTTAACATTTTTATTAAACTAATTACAATTAATTACAAATTTTTTTAAATTTGTAGAACCTTCTTTACCTTCCACCTTCGAATTCTGTTGAATCAGGTCCACGAATTACAAAATGCCATTCAAATAAATTATCCTACAAAAAAAAAATTATACAATATTTACTAATTATCTCCAAATAAATAATCATTTTTTTACCAATTATAATTATTATTTACCTCGAGTGGTTGGGCTGTATAATCGCTACAAGTATCTTGTTGTAATTCGCGAGCCTCTTTTAAAAGCCTTTTAACAGCTTTTTGTTTTTTGATTATTTATATTGAATTGAATATATTAAATTAATTCAAACGATTCAATAATTTTGATAATAAATTTAATTTGTTTCAAAAAAAAAAAAAGAAAACCTGGACTCCTCATATTATAAGAAGTTGTTGCCGACTCCATCTTGTCTAAAGTATTTTTTTTTCTTTCTATCAACTGAAATTTCAAAAATATTTAAACAAAATCACTTGTTCAATATTGATTGGCCTAAAACAAAATTAAATATTTATGCAACTTTTTATTATCATTGTCTCACATAATAATAACAACAGATAAAGTTAACTAAATATTCGATCTTGGATATTACCCTTTGAAACATTTCGCAACAATGCTCCTTTTTTCTTGGCCTACAGAACTTTAAAGTTATGATAATTAGATCATTGGAAGTTAAATGTTCAACCAAATATTAAAAAATTCTTGTCTAAATCAGCCATTCATACTTTTCAAAAGCTCGATTACCGTCTATAAGTGCGCAGGATTAGGGATCAATGCTACACCATTGTCTGACCAATCCAAATTCTGAGGATACTCTGTTTGAAAACATTGAAATCTAGAAACACACAAAGGAGGAATCCAATATTACAAGTATGGTTGATTGGCCCGTCTATACACTGAAATATTTAAATATTCATATCCTGATGATGAACATGAACAAAAAGATTTGTAAAAAAAAATTCACTATATATGATTAAAATCAATACAAACGTTTATTTTACAACTGTAGATGAGTTTGATCATAAAAATATATGCAAAATTTTGATGTTTGGGATGCTAAAAGTAACCATATTAAGCCTGGAAAAGAATTATATAACGTAACTAGTATGGATGCGGCTGCTATTTCATCTGCATTTGGTGTTGAAATACTTGAACGTTTTGGTTCTAAAATGCTTTCCTTTTGAACTTTGTATCACTAAAAATGTAGAAGCTATGGACGAAGGAATTTATATTTGAGTTGTAATTTGAGTTTTTAATTATATTCAAGTCTATATTTGAGTTTGAATTTAGACATATTAATCACTTAATTTAATAAACACTCACTTCACTTGTAAAATTATATTTATTTATTTATTTAATGATTTACAATAATTGATTATCACTTCCTCAACTTTTTATTTCAAGATATAAATAAAATAAATTTAAATTGAAGTTTTAAAATTATTATTAATTGACTCATTTTTGTTTCTGACTTAGACAAATATTTTTGATAAAGAACCAATGCAGCAACATTGGTCAAGTTATACAATTAAATTTTTACAGGAACTAAGTAATCACGTAAAAGATTATTCCATAAAGCCTTAGGGAAAAGCATTTGATATGGTACAATATTATTAAAAAATTCTTTTTTAGAAATATCCTGAAATCTTATTAAAGGAAGAAAATCTTTTAATGTGTCACCCAAATCAACAAAATTTTGTGATGACCAATCCTCAACATTAATGCTATTGATTTCTGGATGTCTTGCTAATCCCCATTTAAGAATATTTTCCCAAATAACCATCTTATCAACAGAAAAATCTTCTCTTTTGAGAATTTCCAATAAAATTGGTTTTTCCAATAATTTGAATTCACTTGATTCAAATAATTTTTCACTATAATCATAAAACTTTTCTAAATAGATGTTTTTCAATTCATTAAATTTTTCATTAGAATAAATCAATTGCAGAATTTTAACTGGATTTTCTTTTGTGTAATCTTCATGATTTTTAATAAAGTATTCCATCATATATTCATAAAGTAAATCAATACCAAGTTCATCTGCTGCAATTAATAATTCCAGTACATTAATTCCAGTATAATCTTCAAATTCAATTTTAGATGTATACAAAAATCTATAAATTATTAAATAAATAAATAAATAAATAAATAAATAAATAATTTAACATAATAATAAATTTATTTACACTTACTTGAGAATAGTCTTGAAACATTTTTCGCTAATGTTAGCTTTCTCAATAATATAGTATTCGCCTTCTTTTGTTGCATCAGTCAATGCATTGCTAAAAAATGGACAATGAGCTGATAGGATAGATGCATGTGCATGAACTTCTTTAATATTTGGTTCTACACCAAGGTATATTTTTACATCATAAAAATCCTCTGTATTTAATAAGCTTTCATTTTCATTAAAATAATTTTCAAATATTGAATTCATTTTTTTTTTCCAAAAAAATTTTTTGTGCGAGAACGAGAAACCAATCACATATTAATTTTACAAATTATAAAAAAGGGTTCCAAAATAATACCCCTCTCCCCCGAAATTATATGGGATCATTATAATTTTTTCTGGAAACTCGTTAATATGATGCTTTGATAAACGAATATACAACATAAACCAATGCTTTTTTATTATCTATAAGCCGATTTTATTAAAAAGATTTTTTTTTGTGAAAATGTTGAAATTTCTGGGGTAGGCGTTTGGATACAAAATTCTGATTGGCTAATTTGGATTTCACGCGCGTGAATTTCATATAATGGGTTGTGTTTATCAATCAATCAATTTTTTTAAAAAAAACCAATGCCTCTTATAGAAAAAACAAAAGAAAATATATTTTAGATACATAATTACTATTAATTATTATTAAAAAAATGGTAGTTGTATTATTAATAAGTTTTTTCTGAAAAAAAATTTTTTTCTACAATTTAAGGAAAAATGAAAAATGATGATGCATCTGAGAGGTATGTAGAAGAAGTTTACAACATTGAAAATCCTTATGAAAAATATCTTAATTGTTTTATAATAAAATGATCTTTATGTATTTAGTATTATATATTCATTCATTATTGATGTCAATCAATGATCAAAAATCATTTTACAGTGAATGAAATAAGAAATATGCCTTGACCAAACCAACAACCAAAGAGCTGTCTAGCGAGGTACACAAATATCTAGATGATCTTTATAAAAAATAATTGTTGGTTGTTAACAAATCTTTCTGTTGATGTTTACATCACTTTAGTGACTGGTTCTTCTTTTTACAGTCAAACTTAAAAGATATAAGAGATTCTATTAATACAACTGATGAAAGATCAGGAAAAATTTATGATAGGGAAAAATTATTATGATATAGATTATATTAGATTTGCTTTATATGCAATGTCAGTTTGTGTTTTTAATTTTATACAACAGGAGATATGTTACACTAGTTCACTAAATATATATTAACTTTACATAGGCCAAGAAGTACAAGAGTGAAGGGTTAAAAAATGTCAATTGGAATCATGGCATAGTTGCCACATGTGGTCACCAATAAGGATTTGGAAATTTAAAGGGGCTTTTTTTGGCTGTTTGGTAATTACCTAACTTATCATTTTAAAATTTTTCTGAGCATTGGTTTTTTGGAATAACTTTCATGATATTTCAGTGGCAAAAGTGTCAGCATTGCTATATCTGTGGTAAACATGGGAACTGCAACCACAATTCGATTTTTATATGCTGCAATTAGTTACAACAAGTTGCAATTAATTGGAGGGCTATCTTTAATCTGTGGCAAGAAACATAGATAGACTAAGTGTCACAGAAAGAAAAAAGATGAGAAATTGTGGCAACTGAATCCTCATGACAATTGGAAATGGAGTTTGGTAAGGAAAAAGTAGACAGACAAATTTGACAGCAATGAGAAAATTTTTTTTCCATATTACATCAGGAAATTTTTTCTGATGTGGATATATGTAATTATTACTAATTATTACACTATTTACATAAATATACAGTGGAAAAATTTCCTGATGTAGTTAAAAAACCCCCCATCATTCAAAGAAGCAGGAATGCTGAAAACCCTCATAGTTTCATACACCAAAATTATCAGACTGACATTAATCATTAATTCAAATCTTGTATTCTCTCTCATATGTTCATTAGATGCACTAGATAGTTAGCAGAGTAAAACCTTCAATGCTTAAATTTCATAACCAGATTAGACTATTGTATGATGTGATTTTTTAATTTACATATACAAGGTTCATTGTAAGAACTTTCAGATTCTATATTATAATAATGTGATTTTGTTAATTTTTCCATCTATTTTAAACAGGATTAGTTAATTATTAAAGCTATGTTACATGCAAATGGTTGAGCTTTATAAATATTAGCCTTATCATTGCATCCGATCTGCTCATAATTTTATTAATAGAATTTATATATACCTTTAGTGTTTGGGCTTTGCTTTTTTTTTTTTTTGACCAATATAATTATTTTTAAACTTTTTCAATCTAATAAAAAAAACACAATATTCAAAAAATAAATGTTATTCTAATAGCAATAGTAATGCATTCTTTATTAAAAATACAGCATGTGTTTCAAAAAAATGATGATCAAAAATATCACATATCTCAACAATTACACAACATAGTTGAATAAAATTAGATTCATTTGAAAGCTCATCATTCCTGATTTTTTCTAAAACAGATTCACATCTTTGTTTCACAGACACAATATTTTTGATTACTTCCTGAGAAATTCTATCTCATTCTTCAACCATAAATCTCTTCAAATCATCAATTTTTTGGCATTTTCTTTTCAACATTATTTTTCATGATATTTCAATGGGATTAAGGTCAGGACTGTTGGATGATGTCAATTCTATTTTGAGACAAAAAATTCTTTGCAACATGTAAAGTGTGTTCAGAATCATTATTTTGTTGCAAGTGTCAATCTCTACCATACAACTGTTGAGCAGCAGACAAAAGCTGGATTTGCAAAATATTTGCATAGAATGGTCTGTCTATTATTTCTTTAAAGTAAAACAAAGGTGCTTACCATTCAATGAAATTCCACCCCAAACCATTACTTTCTGGTGTACTTTTGGCAATATACAAATTGGTCTTTGCCATCTACAAATTTTATTATGAAAGAGGTCAAATGCTGTTTTATCAGCAAAAATAATATGGCTCCAATTATCATCCATGTGTGATTGTGCCCATGTTGTTCTTGTTTCAATATGACAGGCTGTTAACATGGATGCTCCATTGGACACAGAACTTTTGTGACTATTTTTTCATGTGTCTCCAAACAGTAGGATATGAAATTGTCGAATTTTATGTTTTACTGCAAGTTGTTGTGTGATTGTAATGAGTGCTTGCCCAACAGAATATGATGCACTTTGTAAAAAAAAGAAAAATTGGTAATACTCCCGATTTTTGTCAAATTGATCAATAAATTATGGATTCTTACAATTTTTAGAAGGGTCATCCTATATACAGAAAGGTTCTTTTTATGAAATATACAGAACCTATCTGACAAATAAGAATTTATTTTTGGAGTTGGTAAGCATTCCATAACTCCTACCACCCAAGCCTCACAAATTTAATCGTCACATATAGATAACTGTCACAAGGATGCTACAAAAATTTGAGTTATTTCCTTTTTTATAGAATAAATTTCCATTTTTGGTAGGGTACTGTATATTTCAAAAAAAGAACCTTTCTGTATATAGGATATTCCTTTTTAGAATTGATAAAAATCAGGATTTCTGAATTGTCACTATTTTTAATAAGCTAATTAGTTAAAATTCAGGATTACTGATTGTCAACTGATTACTAACATTGCTAAGAATCGGGTTTTCTGAATTCTCACTATTTTTAATAAGCTAATTAGTTAAAATTCAGGATTACCGATTGTCAACTGGTTATTAACATTTGCCAAAAATCGGATGAATAATTGGTTTTTTTTATTTATTATTGAATTGTTCTAATTGGTCACTGAATACTTATCATTAATATTGATGCAAGTTATAATAAATAATTAAAATAACTTACGGAGTAATGGATAAGAAGCGAACAATGAATGCAGAGGTAAGTAGTTCAATTTCCAATGTAAGAAAAAAACATGTCTGAGTTTGAAGTAAAACAAATGAAAGAGTTTTCAAAATTTAGCAAATCTGATAAAAATCAGTATAACACTTCTTCATAAATCAGTGAATAATCATTCGGCAATTGGTAAAAGATCAGCTTAA